ACTAGTGATATGTAAACAATTAGCTGAGAGAACAGAAGCTTTTTATAGTAGCATAGCATTCAGATAATGATTCCCACATGGTTGGATAATTAGACACAATCGGTATAAAAAAATGGAAAGAATATACTTGTTTTTTAACTTCCTATGTTTTTCTCCTTTATGAAGCTTTTGGTGATTTTTTTAAAGAACTATAAGTCATTTACTTTTTCAAACTCCATTTTTTTTTAAATGTTTATGCAAGTTGAATGAGTTGGGGGTCTCTGTCCACCCCCCTCCTTTTTTAAGATTTATTTATTTATGCATACAGAACTGGGGTACAGACCAGAGGTGTGGGGGCAGTGAGAGGTTTCACCAGAGACAAAGTGGAGAGCAGAACAGGCCTACTGACAAAGTACATTGCTGAGGGGAGCAGTGAGCCGTCAGGAGAGGTCTGCCGTGCTATGTGGTCGCCTCCAAGGCTGGGGATACAACTCGCATTGAAGTGGCTGCAGCTAGCTTGCAGTGCAGTGCTTTAACCTGCTGCGCCACCCGGGAGGGCCTCAAACTTCAATTTTTAAAGCAGTTTTCCGTTCAGTGGAACTGAAAGTATGAAGTGGTACACTTTTTAGTCAACAAGCCTACACTGACACATCATTAGCACCCAAAGTCCATAGGTGCATTAAGATCCACTCTTGGCATTATACATTCCATAGGATTAGATAAATGTATAATGACATATATTTACTATTACAGGATTATACAGAATGATCCTACAATCCCCAACCCTATGTGGTGAATTTTCTGATGAGTCATCTATGCATCTCTCCATCTTTGTTGTACTGTATAGTTTTACCTTTTCCATAATGTCATTTAGTTGGAGTTATGCTATAGTCTTTATAGATAGACTTATTTCACTTAGTAATATGCATTTAAGATTCCATTTTTTTTTAATGGTTCGATAGCTCATTTTTGCTTTTTAGTGCTGGATAATTTTCCATTGTCTGTATGTCCCCCACCTAATCCATTCACCTGCAAATGGAATCTTAGCTGCTTCCAAGTTTGGGAGCATGTATGGATAAAGCTGTTATATTTTACTGCAAATTTCCAACTTATTTATATCATTAACTTTTTATTGTAAGTCTCATCTTTTAAGCCAAAAGTTCAAACAGTAGAACTGACCTGACCATAATAATTTTATGTGATGGAGATCATTTGAGATATTTCTAAATACTTACAACATTTCCTGTCCTTCTTATTTGAATGATTTCTACATGATTCTATAGGGAGAAGGCCATACACAATGTCACAGTGAGAAACCTATTTTTTTCTATTTCTTTCTTACTTATTGCATTACACCACAAAGTTTACCCTAAATATAAGATATATCTTGAGAGGGAAGGGTCCATTTTGAGTTCACTTGCTACTATATTCAGTAATAGCTCATTCTCTCTGAGGCATGTAGTTTTATTGCAAAATTCTCAGGAGAGGTTGATGGTAACAGAATTTTTTCCTAATTTTTAACTTTAATACTTTTCATCTTAGAAAATATATTTTCATTCTTTCTAAAGTCACATGATAGTGCTATTTAGATAACTTGATACCATGACAGTTCAATGGAATAATTTTATTGAGAGATTTTTTTTTTACAGAAAATTATATAGCAAAACTAAAAGTAGCAAAGTGATATAAGTGGAATGGAAACATTAATTCCATCATGGAAAGACTGACTACATTGCCTGCATATTTGAACACTACATTCTATATACCCACTGGAAAAAGGAATGATATTAGTTTTTGGCAATTTCAACATCTTTTATATATCTCTTCTGTTTTATATTTGAAATGTCTATGTAATCAGAAGGGAGTAGTTTGTCTCAAACTTTTGTGAAGAATGATTTATTTAAACTATTAGTATTGAACTTTCAGTTCACTACATGTTGAAAAGTAAAGATACCATTCTATCCATTTTTTTCAAGTTTGATCAGGTGAAAAAATAATATATAATTCTTCATTTTAGTTTTATGCCCCCCCAAAAGGGAACTAAATCAAATGCTGAACTATATTATATTCTAGGCACCCATGTCATGGAGAGAAATAGATGAATACAAGAGCCTGAATGACTTGATGTGAACTGTGTACAAGCTGTTTTTTTTTTTTTAAGGTTTATTTATTTATACAGAACTGGTGTACAAGTGCAAGGACAGTGAGAGTGTTCCCCAGAGTCAGAGTGAGGAGCAGAACAGGCAAATTGACGAAGTACATGGCTGAGAGGAGCAGTGGGTGAGACAGGAGAGGTCCCCTGGGCCATGTGGATCACTTCCCCAGCTGGGTATTGAACTTGCGCTGAGGCAGCTGTGGCCAGCTTCATAGTGCTGTGCTTTAATCTGGTGCACCACCAGATTATTATTATTATTTATTTTTAATGCAACCTAATTTGGTTGTTACCTACAGGAAGTGTGTGTGTGTGTGTGTGTGTGTGTGTGGAGGGGATGCATGTCCTTCATAAATTGACATTATATACTACACAATATTTATAATACAGAATATTTGTATGCAATTAATTCTGTCATGACCATCTATATTGTGTGTAAGTGTATATACACATATATTTTAAATGAAATTGTGCTATATATATATATATATATATGTATGTATGTATGTTAGCAAATTGTTTATTTCTATTTGAGTATGTAATGAACATCTTTATGATTTGATACATGTATATTTTATTCTTTTAAAATAATTGCCTAAAATTCTAATGTATTTGTGTACTGTATATTAATCCACCAACCCTCTTGATATATTTATTTTTTTCAGTTAGTGCTGCAACATATCTACTTGTAGATATGTTTTTAAGCACTGTTGCTATCATATTTTTATATATTTTTGAAGTAAACATATAAATATGTTGAAGTTAATTGATATTTTATAAAAGATATGTTACTCTATCAAATATAATTTGATTATTTTGCTATTCATATGGAAAGCAGTTTTGTGAAAACCATTTTTTAACCACTTGGTTAAGAGGGTGCTGCAGATAGATAATTCCACATAGCATTTGTAGCTCTATATGCCTGAAATATTTATCTATGAAAATACTTATGTATCACAAAAATATTTGTTTATGATTACCCCAAATTAAATTCAATCACCACTGAATATATCAATGACTGGGATAAGACAGATGCAGTTTATGTGATGCAGTGACAAAGTGATTTCATCATATTCCTGGACTTGAAAAACTCAGGCAATAGATGTTAGCAGGACTTAGTCAATGCACTGGTTCTTGTTTTATATAACTATCTTTGTAAATGAGCTCAATAGTCAACATTTAGTTATTCTTGCTGATTCACCGTGTACAGAGGAACCATCCTATGAACTTAAATCACAAAGTTCCCTCTTGATCTTTATGTCCCAACTCTGTATAACCGAGGCCAAGCAAATATTACCAGTCTTTCATATCACATAGCATCATATTCTGTAATTACATGAATCCATGGAACATCCATGGAAACTGGTTATACCTACTTAAGGGCAAAAAAAAAAAATCACACAACATTTTGTCATACTTGGTATGATGCCAACGGAGATTTCCTGGCTAAAGTTTTATAAGAGACTGTTAATAGAAAAGTCTGTTCAGGTTTCACACCTTCCTAGTTCCTTTTCCTATGTATTTTTCTTATCTCAGAAGACCAAAGATGCTATAAACACTATGTTTCTAGGTTAGATAGCAGAATTTCAACCAGAAATATTTTTATTTTATATGATATAGCAGTACCCTATGATTTTTTATTTATTTAATTATATATTTCTAATTAAACATTTTTGTTGAGATAGCATTGGTTTATAATGCTGTATATGATTGAGAGATATAGGTTAAAAGGAAATAGTCTGGAAGAAAGTAGAATAATACTGATAAACGATTTTTAATATTTCCTTTTCTTGATATTGGAATGGAGACTTGCGATGTCAGACAATTATGTTTCTCTTAACATTTTATTTCTTGTTTAATATTCATAGAGTATGCAAGTATGTGTGAACATAAAAATGCAAGTATATGTTTTATGTATACATACACACAAGCACTTACATATAGATAACATATATACATACAGCATACTAGTACTTATCCCGTTCCTCTCTCAGAGGTGAGAAATATTATGAGGAATATTGATAGCCTACTGTTTGGAGGAAAAGTTTTCCTCTACCCCTTTAGGTTATTTCAGCTTGAAACTGTTAAACTGACATAAGTCAGATTAACAGGAGAAAAAAATGAATTAATTATTTACATATGACATGAGCTGCCCAAAGACATGAAGGTAAAATGAGTAAACCTGCCATGGTGAACTGAGGAGAAGAGGAGGCCAGCACCTCAGGACAGGTCACAGGCAGAGAGGAGTAAATGTTTGATAAATAGTTGTCTGTTGGACCTTGCAGAAACAATGGGCCACAGAGACAACTTTGAACTCTGATCTTACTAAGTTTTCCCTAGTATAACATTTAGCTCATGTTAATTGACATTAACTATGAGAAGAGTTTGGAGAAAGGGCTTTCTAGCTAAATTCCTTTAAAAGGTGGTTAAGATGGGAGTGGTGTGAAATGTTCTTCTGCAACTTAGGCCCCCAACTCCCTTTACACAAGCCAGAGTAGCATATTTTGGGTCGTATATTCTGCTTCCCCTGAATACCTAAATGAAATAGAAGAAAGATAATAACAGTAATACTTATAATAGAAACAGACAAGAGGCAGACTGAACCAGGGAAGGGGCTACATGTATTTACAACTTAATACTAAAAAGACAAGGATATAGCTGTTTATAGGCAGAGATTTCACCAATACCATTAATACTAAGGTAATACTTGCATTTTACCTCCTTTCCTTAGGTTCTTCACAAATCTGTGTATTCACATGAGGTCATTCCAAAATATTTTGCTGCATAATAAATATTTAAATGTGTCACTGTGATGACTTTGCAGATACTCCATTGGAGTGAGATTGGTTTTGTTTTGTTTTTTTTCCAGAATCTGCCCTTGAAGAAGATTCCCTGCAAAGCCAGTGCCCCTTCAGGCTCCTTTTTTGCCAGAGACAACACAGCAAATTTCCTATCCTGGTGCCGAGATTTAGGGGTAGATGAAACATGTTTATTTGAATCAGAAGGTTTGGGTATGTATCCCTTTTAGAATTCTAGCTGATAACATATTAAAATGATTATTTTTCTTTGTCAGTATAATTGTCAAAACAAACTTTGTACATGATGTTATTTCACAGATTACCTTTTAAAAAAATCAGCCTATTGGAGACTTGCAGGTTCATTGTAAACTTGAGTCTTTGAAGGTAGAAAAATGCATATTCTATTATCAATTACATTGTATGTAAGACATTAGGAACATAAGTAGCATAATCCCATCCAAGCTAACAACAGGATATATACCATACACAACTGGGGATCATGGGAAAACATGGGGTTTGTGATACCAGCATGTTCAAGCCTGGCTGAGGAGCAGCTCCTGTGCACCAACCGTCTACAACACGGGTGCCTTTTCCCTTTTACAAACACATGAGGACACCAGCTCCCATCAGTTAAAGCTGAAATTCATGAAGTTTTTCTATCTAATTCTTAGCGAGTTACGAACGTTAAAATTAGGCAAGCAAGAGATTGAGACAATTGAAGATGATGAAATGCGGTCTAGATACCTTAGTGCTTAAACTCTCCAGATAAATATGTTCAGGATAATTATATATCACTGAATATTGGCAAATCTATTTCTAGGCCCTGGTGTTGTCAGCTTTTGTATTTCCTTGGGAGGAAGTGTCTGTTGAACCTTCTGGTGTTGAACACAGATCTCCTGGACAGACCCCACCTAGTGCAGTTTCTAATATGGAGATTGGAATTAGTTTCATTCTAGTGAAATAGAACTGACTAAAGAAAGGAAACATCTAAGAGGGGGGAAAAAAAAAAAAAAAACCTTCCTTGGTTCTTTTACTTGAAGCTTAAAAAATCAATTTACAAAATCACACAATACCAAATATTAACATCAAAGTAAGCTAATCATCTTTCAGAGAGAACAAGTATACAAATTGCCTTGCTTCCAGTCAGAGAGTCAGAGTATACTTTGCCCCCAGGAGTCACAAAACATTCCCTGCTGAAACAACACAGCTAAAAGTCTTACCTGTTTTATATGCTGAAAGAAATTTGTATTTGTACTAAGAGTTGGCACGCTATGGGGATGGCTATTTTCAGATTTCTGGGAATTCTCTTAGCAATGATTAGAATGACATGAATTAGGAAAATATTTTATACCTGAAAGGAAAAATGAACCAGAGTAACTGCACAATAGTATGCTTTATGTAACAAGTGCTCCTTAAATGCAAGTGATATAATAAATAAGCTTTGAGTTTTCTTATCTCATGTGAAAGTTAAAACAAATTTAGTAGAATATATATGTGTATTGCATATCTCTCTTTCATTCCAGTGGTAATATTATAAATAGATTTTAACTTTCTTTAACTTTTTTAAGTGACTAATACTGGTCTAATGGATTTGTTAGAAGCTATGAGAACCAGTATGATCTTACCTCAATTTTTGCAGTATTTATATACCTTGTTACTTGAGCTAATAAAACTTTCAATTGGAATCCAGGAAGAACCAATTTAATGGCAAATTTTCTCTGGAGTAAATATCAACATAGCTCAAAGTCCTAATGTGTATTAAATGCATATGACTTACATTGCATTTTTAAATCACTGCTCACATCATATCTTTAAATAAGAAAGTCTAGAGCAACTTACATAAAATGGTCCTGTATATAAATACTCTATAGCACATAAAATTGCATCAGAAGAGCTTTTAGATGACCTAGTTTTTCACCTTGTTTAGAAAAAAAACCTGATTTTATTTTTTTAAATGCCCATGAGAATCCATATGTAGTAAATTAATCAAGTACTTTATTAAATCTCTTTGATTTTGATTTTTTCCCTTTAACATATATGTCTAAAACAAGCCATAATTTGCAGTTGAAATGTATCTACATATTCAAAAAAGTTTAAGAAGACCAGTTTATAAGGCTATAAAAATGGAAACATAGCAGTTAATCCTCTCAGTGCCAAACTAAATCATGTAGTTAAAAACTTTCTAGTTTGATGCTCATGAAAAGATAAATCTGAAATTTCTCCTGCTCAGAGTAGGGCATGAAGTGCTGTGTACCAGACCCCGTGGAGACGAAGAAGGAAGCCAATATCACAGTATTGACTTTAGGATTATTCAGAGGAAGGCAGCAGCTGTGACCAGAGATGTTAATGATCATCCACGGAAGAACAATAAGAAATACTATTTCCCTAAGTGGAACTCTTTCTCCTTGAATTTTTCTTATTATTCACTGTGGGTGAGGAAGTAGTGGAGCTTCTGCGGATGGCCTTGGGCTGGGCACTCACAGAATTGACTTTCTTGCAACAATAATCCTGTGTCCTCCAGTTGCTATCTTTTCACACTTCACTATTGAAAGGGAATTTAGGGCAAGGGTTTTTTTTTCTGCTTTTCTACCTCAAGATTTCATTTCAGTAGCATAGAAGATGAAGAGCATCCTTTGTGTCTTAGTGTTTTGAACAGCAAATAAAATGAAAAGATGCCCTGATGAAGGGGAAAAATCTGTTTGAATGAATGATAAAGTAGATCACTGTACTGAATGTGTATCAAGAGGCTTCTGTCTTTGGTTGTTCAAAGGTCTTTGCCTGCAGAAAGCATTCTTATCTTAGTGGCAACTGATATACTACCCTCTGCGGTAGGGCTTTTTTGTACAATTATTTGTGAGAGAATCTTGATTCATGACTCATTCAATCTGTTCTCTTTCTACAACAGCTAATAACAAGAAATCTCAGTGGGAGGGGAAGCTATGGCAGGACTAGACTCTGAAGTATGAACCACAGCTTATTCCTATGCTTCTTGTCTTTTTGGTTCTTGGAAGATAATCTAGGCTTCAAGATACAATCACATACAGACTATACCCGGCAGCTCATTTTCTGTGAGGTTCTAAAGAGTCTTTTTTTTTTTTTTTAACCTCTGTGAAATATCAGTTCTTAGGTCATAAGCTCTCTAGTATCCAGAATAGTGTTTTCACAAATGAGTAAATAGAATAACAAAGGTTATAAAAGCCTAATCACAGAGTATTTATAAATATCCAATAAAGATATAAAAACCAAGTTTTGTCATTTTTACTTGGACACCTAATAGGTAAATGCACATACAACTGTGAACCATTTACAAGGATTAGGAAAATGTATATTTGTTAAGTATGTAGGAGGGAAGCAGGATCTGCAATATGTTGCTGAAAAATTAGAAATTGTATGCTTTCTTTGGAGGGCAATTTTACATTACATATTAAAGACCTCAGATGTCTTCATAATGGCATCCTAGCTAGCAGTTGTTCTATAGCTAAGTTAATCAGAAGTAGGGAAGTAGAGATAGGTACTAAAATACATTTAGGGATATGGGAAAATTAGGATGTAGTATGAACATGAAATCAAATATTAATACCTAGTAAATAACCATAAAGCGATATATTTAGAACTTGAAAAAAATGGTAGTGGGTTATGTGATATAATTTTCTTCTTCAATTATCTGTTAACAAGTTTTCAACAGTAAGCAGGTATGTCTTGTAATTTAAAATGAATAATTAATTATATTTATATTAAGATACAATTTGCAGCAAGTTGCATAGAGAATTATTTCTTGATGTAAAGTTTTATATCTTTGTATATGAAAAGACTTTTGACATCACTAAGATTAATCTGACATTTCAGATGATGATAATATTTTATACTGTTTTGGGAATAGATGATATAAATTTTTGTGGTCTCTATAGAGCATATTTTAACCTGAAGAGTGTACATGTAGTGTTTATACATTTACCCACTGTTCAAATCAGTGTCTTTAATTTATTAAGATTAATATTTGGCTTCACTCCTTAAAAATATTTACAATTGAGTTTTAGATTAAATGGATAAATATGTTTTCTTGAGTTTAAAAGTATGAAACTTATCAGTCTAAAAATAAAATATACCCCAATAATTATTTTTTAAATATGTTATTTTAAAGAAATGTGGAGATTCCTCAAAGCACTAAAATAGATTTACCTAAGACCCAACAACTCCAGTCCTTGGTATGCCAAAGAACACCAAACACCAGTTCAAAAGAAAACCTACACTCCTATGTTTATAGCAGCATGTTTAGAATAATAAAGATATGAAAAAACACCCAGAACAGACAGGTGGATGAAGAAAAATGTGACATCTATACACAGTGGAATACTACTCAGCAATAAAAAAGAATAAATCCATGTCATTTGTAGCAACATTGGTGGAACTAGAAGGGATTATTTTAAGTGAAATGAGCCAGATAGAGAAAGATAAATACTGGATGGGTTCTTGTATGTAGAGAATCTAGAGAAAACAAACTATCAGATAAAGATAAACTAAGACTGAGCCTTGAAAGCAGATGGTGGATCTGAGACACTCAGGAGGGAGATGGAGGAATAGAGAACAAGAGAAGGAGAGCATGGTGGAACATGGTGGAAGATGTGGGCACCCTGGTGGTGTGAAAGCTATGGTGGCCACATCTGAGAAGGGAAGCCCTATATTATGAAAAATATAAACAGGGATGTTTAAATTTTTTTTAAAATAAGTTATTTTTAATTATACAGTAAAGAAAAAAAACATGTTTATATGGCTCTGGCGAGAGAACATTTGTTAAATATAAAAGTTATTAAGCTTATAATTAACATTATTCCTAATAGTAAATTAAATACTTTTCAGAGATTATTCTCGTTAGCCTCCTTTCCAAAATAATGTTGAATCTTTAGCTATGTTTCATTTTTGTGACTTATATCAAGATCAGAATTCTGTGATATGTTGCCAGTCTTAACAAGTTTCAAGTTACAAATCCTAAAACTGATGATGTTCTTATGTGAATTTGTTCTAAGTCACTCTTCTTGTGTGGGAGACTTGTATTTTAATATGCTTTAGTACAATGAAATTTTAAAAAATTAATTTTTTTTCCTCTGAGCTTTTTTATTTTTGTTTTATTTGTATACTATCTGGTTAGCTGGTAGGAAAAAAAAAGGTTGGGAAACATTTACAAAATGCACAATGTTTTGCTTGCTTTACTTGTG